AATTATAATATTTTATAAAATTTAAACATGATGACAAATTGAAGTTACTATTTATAAATTTATCTGTAACAATAGATGAAAAGTCTATAATTGCATTATCTGATTTTGAGTTGAAATTTGAAACTTGACAAGAATAATTATGGGGTTTGGTTGGAGAGTTCTTACAAGATTGATAAAGATTCTGATTTCAGATTATCTTTGTGAAAGGAGAAATGTTTGCTGTGTTACATTTTGATTTTCATATGAGATTGTAAAGGAGAGTAAGTACTTTTGAAGCTGCTTTTATCCAAGTATCAATATTGATTATAACAAAGATCTTGCTGATAACTTCACAGGATAGTTTGACTACCTGCCAGATATGGTTGACTGAAGTATTATTTTTGCTAAGGCAGAGTATATTATTTATAGTGTTAATAATTTGAATTGTTTGTTCTTCTGCCTTGATGCATTTGAATACATGCCTTATATTTTCAATTCTGAGTTCATATATTGAGAAAAAGTGATTTGGATACTGTTCTGAATATAGTTGATTGAGAAAAGCTCGAATTGGAAGAGTTCTTGAGAGGATCTTGATTCTAAAGAATATTAAATTACTATAGAAATTGCTCTTTAGCTTTCTGAGACATTTGGAAGATTTAGTAAACACTTCCAGGCCATAGGGACTAAAAATTTCTCCAAAGGTTTTTATTACTGATGTGCTTTTACATATCATGTAAATCTTAATTAACCTTAGAATTTTCTTTAATCAAATGATGCTGCTATTCAAATTGCTATTATTTATTTTTGAATTTTTGGGAAAATAAGATGGCAAGATATTCCAATATATGATATTGTCTGTTTTAAGTTTTAATTTTAATTTGGTAAATTGAAGCGAAATTGATTTTTGAAAACTTATGATATTGATTCTTTAAATAATGAAAAAGTAGTTGTACTTAATCATTCTTCTTAAATAGTTTGGAATTTCTTGAATGATCTTTCTATTGTCTCTAATTTCAATGGTTATTGAGTTTTAACACTATTAAATAATATTATATATAGTTAAGAGAATATTGGAAATTGAAGTATCAGAATAAGAAAATATAATAAGATGGTTGTTAACTACAATATTATTTTTGTAAGCTTGAATTAAATAAAAGTGTAATTGTTCTAGTTCTATTAGTTGAGATAATGCTGAAAAGCTAGATTGAAGATATATTTGAAGTTAAACTATTATTATTTTAAATATAAATTAATATTATCTAGTAATTATCATTTTTAATAATATTAATTTTTCTTAAGTTAACCTAATTATTCTAATTAATCAACTTATATTTTATAGATAAGTCTATATTCAGATAGGACTTATACAAAAGAAAAAAATCCTATTACTGATTTAAATTTATTTTTTTTATTAATTCAATTATATTTTTTAGTTATTTGCTAGAAAAAAATCATATAAAATATTATTATAAAAATTAACTTTAATTATTTCAATTATTTATTATTACTAATTCTTAAGATGTATTATTAGTATAATATAGTATAACTATTTTCATTATCTATAGAACTGGTATTCTTGTTTGGATTCTAATTTAATCTTATATAATCTTTACCAAATATATTTGCTTAATGATTTTTATTTAAATTCTTATTATTTATAATTAATATCTTGCTCTTTAGTCATATGTTTAAATTTTATAAAATATTATAATTGTGATAAATTTACAAGTTTTAAATTAGAATAGATTAATTTAGAATTAATCTTTTTAAATTATATAATAGAATTTGTTATTGTTAATTAAATTAAAGTTTTTATAAACTTTTATTAAAATTAGATCAAAAGTTTTTTCTCATTAACCTTCTATACTTTGATCTGTTTTTAGTTCATAATTATTAAAAAAACTAGAGATTCTATTTTTATATTATTTAATCAAATATGGATATGTTTAAAAATAATTAAATATAACATATATAGAATATTTAATAAATCTATATATAAAGGTAAATATATATTTTATTTCTATAGATATTGAATTAAGAATATGTATTTGAAGATCTGGAAGTACTATTTATTATATTATTAATTCACAAATTATATATATAATTATTTTTTTTGAAGAAACAAATGATTTCCATATATATTATTTTTATTATAATTTTAAACTTGCCGTTACAAGATTTATAACTTATGATATAATATATCTCTTTCTTTGCTAAGAAAAATTTAATACAAAATTTACAATTATGACTTATTTATCTAAGCTCCTTAATATCATCCAAGAATATAGGAAAAAAAATTTAAAATCTATATTATATCTTAAATAACATCTATCTAGAAAAATATATTACCTAGTTACATAAAGGCACTACAATTATTATCTATATGACTGATTCTTTTTGAAAACGACAAAAATGTTATATACGATTTTTTGATCCCTATTTTTTGAACAATACATATACAATATAAATTCTAGGAGTACAATTATAAAGTCTGAAAAATCCCCGTCCACCTTCAAAAAGAATTACCCATATACAGATTAATCTTCAAGTTATAACTAGAATTGATATGCTTGATTTTCAAATATGACTTTATATATAACAAGTGAAGTATATATATTATTTCTATTATAATAGTTTATTATAATTTAATAAATAAATAATTTAGTCTAATTAAATATATTTATTTATTTATTTAAAATAAACTTAATAATTATTTATTAAATTATATTAAAAAATATTAGTTCAAAAACTTTTGTAACAGATTGTCTAATTTTATAAATGTTAAAATAAAAAAAAAATTGATAATTTTTTTGTCAGTACTATATATAATAATAAATTTAGAATATATAATATGTATTTTATTATTGAACATTATTTTTTATAGTAATTGTACAATAATAGTTTAATAGATACATTTTAAAATTTGAAAACAATATACAAACATATACGTAGAACATACACATCTAAATATGGTTATTTGTATAAATTTTTCTGCAATATCAATATCAATTTTCAAAACTGATAGGTGCTCAGTAGTGATGGTATATTATTACTATATATGGTATTTAGTATATATAATAATGGTAATACAATCAATAATATAATTAACGGATAGAACTAATTTATACTTTTATGTTTGTTTTGGCCTACGGAACTGCATTTTAAACACGGAATTATTATCATCATTATTTATGCTGCAAGATACTGCCTAATATTATGTAGATATCGAATGGCAATCACAGTGCATTCTGTAAAGAAATTTAAATTTATCATTCCAACATCACTTGCATTCCCTCAAATACATTATAAGCAATCTTTATTTCTTCCTTCCAAAATCTCGTTCTTTCCTGTCTTTCCGTTTTTATCTCATTTTCTGCAACTTTACGCGCATAAGTTGCCTTCAAGACTTTATTTATATAATAATATCTACTTTACCACTTTATCACAATCTTTTATTTTGGGATGGCACCCTCAATACTTCAATCAGGTTCTGTGACTTCACCTGCCCCCTTGATTCAACGCAACAATCGTAATAGTTTGTTTCGAATATCCAGTATACCCTCATATTCAATACTTGTAGCCGCTACTGAAATACCTCATTTGACAAATTGTAAATATTCCGAAAATAATGACATCGATATCGACGATGAACGAATATTTTTGGAAAAAAAAGTTGTTACAACAAAGTGATAAGGAAAAATATAGGCAAAATGGTAGCAAAATAAACTACGGTGCAAATAAGGTGCATCCAAGTCAAGAGGATGTTAGGATGTTCGAAAAAATAGCAGAGAAATTGGGAAGCCCTGCGTTTGAGGCATTCTTGAATCAAAGGGTGTCACTTACTACCGAACAGATGAATAAAATTGAAATTGCGAGGTTACAGGCTAATGTTGAGAAATTACCACCAAGATATCCTTCTCAGGTAAAGATAAGATTGTGAAAGTAAATTTACAACTTAAGTTATCACGTGACCGACATGTGTACTCTCATATACAGGATTCATATTTACGCAAAGACATCCACAATCTATATTTCACCAGTCTCCACACCAGCCTTAACCGACTCGAAAATCCCTCGTTTCAGCAACAACGTTATTGCATGTCCAATGAAAAAGAAGAAACTCTTTACGCCCAGAGAATTTTCAAACGAGTGAGCCGCGCACTGAAGTTACGAATGGTATCTCAAGATGCTGATCTTATATCATCAGAACAGAAGAAAGAAATCCGATTCAAAGAAGTAGAGGAAAACTTGAATCAACTGGTAGACAGATTTCCAAGGTTTGATAATCAGCGGGTAGTATTTAGGAATGCAACTAGCGTTGACGTCAAATAAATTTTTTTGATAAAATTATTCGTATCTATGTATAAATTTGTATATATTTGTTATTTACATTATACTGTTTACCATTATATTATCTCAATTAACTGCGAAATACTAAAGAAGATTAATTTAGCAATATATTCTTGAAAACTAGAATTTTCGTATAGAAATTCTTTTGTTATTGTTTTTGCTTCTAAAATTTTTTTAGAAAAATTATGCTTCTTATTATCACGTGATCGAAATATACTGTATAGAATGAATGTTTTCACAATTTACTCGTGCCATTATCATTATTATAAACTTATTACTTAATTATTATACAAATTATTAATATTATTTAATTTTTATTAAAATATATTTAAGATAATTAAATATTAATTATTTTAATTACTATTTCTAAATATATATTTTTTTTTGATAAGCATTAAATGCAAGGTTTTTATTAAACTTTTGATTGTTATTAATACATTAAGAATCTTTACAAAGTAAATTAATTCTAACTATACATGTGATATAAATTATTTGCTGTTGACTCAATTCTCAAAATCTTCAAAAATAATTGTGTCATGACTCAATTATTTATATGTTTTAATAGTGACTCAATTAATTGTATCAAATAATTGTATCAATTGTGTTAAGAATCTATAAATTTCAGTAACATGTATATACTCTACTATTATTTTTAATAGTGTTCTAAATCTTATACAATTTCTTGTAATTCTGTTTGATTCCAATTTTCAGAACTATATTTTATCTTTCTTCTAAGGTAAAAATAATATATGACAATAATTAAATTTAAAAATTAAAAATTAATTTTTAAATTTTTAAAAACAAACTTTCTTCTAATTGTATCTGTTTTATTAAAATTTTTTCTTTTATAGTAATTTTAAATAAGAAAAAATATTAAATATTCTTTATCACAAATGAGCCTAGCTCAAAAACTCAAAATTTTTTTAAACAACTGATACAGTGAAATGTGACTTCTAATTAAAATCTATTCAAGTTTAAAAAACTTGTTTATTCTTTGGTTGTATAAGAAAAAGCCTATAACAATTCTTCTTTCTTTTGTTTTTTTGCATCTTTTTTTATCTCTATTATATTATAAAAACTATTTATATCAATATTATTATACTTGCTAAATTAAACATTTTCTAAAAAAACACACTTAAACAAAGTTATTAAGTCTATTGTTTGTTTTAATACAATTTTCACATATAATTTCATTATAATACTATTTATTGTACTATCTTAAAATTTTCAAAAAATTAAAATCAGTTTATTACCTTTAGAAGATTATCACTTTTCAATTATCCAATCAAATTTCATCAAAACAACAAAGCAAAAATTGAATTTATTTAAACTGGTTTTTTAATATAACAATAATAACAAGCAATATCAATTATATTTTACTATTTATATCAATAAAAATCATATTTTTAAGATTAGTATTAACATAAGAGTTGAATAATTGGTTCTCTTTTAAATATTTTTTTTGTTTACACAGATTCTATTATCTAAATAACTTAATTTTAATTTCAGTAGTCCAAGTTATTGTAGCCCCAGTTTATTTTTTTCAATTTTTTTTTATTTATATCCAATCAAAAAAATTTAAATAAGTAAATATAACCATTATTTAATTATATTTAATATATACAATATTGTTTTAAAATCTTTTTTAATATTAACTAAATATAAATGTATAGGCAAGCTAGTGTTATAGTGCGACATGGCGAGTCTGTCACTTCGATCTGGCTTACACCGTGTAATGGTCATAACTCGTCTTTCTTTGAAATAGGCGTATATGTTTTTGGTCGAGTATATATTGTGAATCTGTTAATTTATTATAGTTGTATCGAATAACCAACCTTTTCTTAATTGCTTTACTTGTTACTTTTATACTTCTTTACTATATACTTGATATATCAAATATACTAAATATACTTGATATACTTAATATACCTAATATACTTAATATACCTAATATACCTGATATACCTAATACACCTGATATACTTAATATACTTATTATATCAAATAGATCTAATTATCTTTTCCTTATTTATCTATCTTTTTGTATTACTATTTTTACCTTTAACACTAGCATTTAATTTGTTATATGCTTTGCATCCAAGAGATATTGGTTTTTTTATATATATTAACTTTTAAATATAATATAATTAATAAAAAAAATAATATTTATTTATCAGAAAAAAAAATTCAAAATTAATTTTAATAAATTAGTTAAATAATAAATATTCCTAAATTTTATTAATATTTTAAACTTAGAACTAATAATTTTTAAATAATTTTATATTTAAAATATAAAAAATTATTTAATATTAATTAGGGTTCCAAAAAAGTACTGAACTGGTATCGAACTATTATCAAAATAATACCAATCTATAATAAATTTAATATATGGGTTGTAATCTACTCATATGTTTTTATAGTAATTTAAGTATCAAACTGGTATCGAAGTAGTATCGAAGTGGTATTATTAGAAGTCCTAATATTAATTGATAAAAATTATATATAGTGAACCCTTTCTAAATGTACATCCCTCAGGATCATAGAAAATTTTTGAAAAATATGCATTTATAGAGGGTATATATTTATGGAGGTAATTTTATTAAGAGTTCTATATACTTAGAATCAAGCTTGATCGTTCATTTAGAAAGAGAAAATATAGTAAATGCATTTAGGGAGGTCTCTCTGTATATATATATATATAATATATATAATTTTTATATTTGTCAATAAAATTAATTTTTTTTTTTTTTTTTTTATAAGGCGCAAGTGTGGTGACCGCTTCTTCTTTATTAATAAATTCCTTATATTAATTTTACAGTTGCAGTTAAAAACTCATACAAGTCAGTACATTATATACTCTATGCAGATTATCCCTCACATCCCTCTTTACATCTAGCACCCAGGAACCTATCACTTAACGATTT